CTGGGTATCTCTGATTTGGAATACCGACGCAGTAATTACGCGGAGGCAGAAGAGTTTGCGCGTTTGGCGAAGGACAAGGCGGTGGAGATGGGCCTCAACTTGGAAGCTTGTAAAGCGCAGGAACGTCTCGACTTTTTGCGTGCAATCACGCGCCGTCACACAATCGACAATGGTGCGCAGCAAAGTGAAAGTGAAGGAGAGAATGCCGACATTAGCTCGTCAGGAGCGGAATCTGATTGGCTGACTGCAATATTGAATTGATGTTATACTTATTCCGGCGGTCGAACATCACGTGTTTTGAAACCAAACACGCAAGTTATGTCTCTATCGAAATGCTTTTCCTGTGATTGTTTGCTCTTAAAATACAATAGAATAAACTTTATTTAAACACGATGAGGTTTAAAGCTGGAAACTGGTGGGGCCGTGTAGAAAATACTGTGATATATATTACTTGAAGTCACTGGAAGGTTATAACTAGCCCCGCCAGTAATTTAAAAATGTGATCGAAGTTCTGATCAAATTAAATTTTGAAAAAATCTGAAAATCTCGACTACAAATTACACTGGGAAGAGAGGTCAGCGTATCGATCATTATAGAAATGATAGAATCCTGTATACCCAGTGAATTAAGAATTTTTAAGTTAGAGTCTTTAGTTTTACGGGAAAACCGTAGAAGCCCAAGTGAATGCCTTGTTTAATTCATTGATTAGTTTTTTTTGTGATTCTTTTGTTATTTTGCGAGCTGTAGTGGAGAGGTGACAGCTCTCTGTTTAGCTGCTACACTGCAAATCATAAGATTTAGGTTCAAGTGAAATTAAAGCTGGATTTCTCTAGCAATGGAGTCGAAGTCGGAGTCGTCATCAGCGGCTCATGCGCAGAGTGTATCTAAGTAGATCCGGTAGAGTATCTTGTTATTTTGGGTATGGATTTCAGATCCAATAAAACTGTTGTTATACGGTTGTAAGTTATGATGATATAATATTTGGAACTTGCCTGTCTTCATTCTTCTGTAGGACCAAATGCTACAAAATTTAGGCATGCTGAGGGCGCGCTAGTGGTCATGGAGAACAAAGGTACATGATCATTGATTTCGGGGGAACAAGGAATAATTCTCAGATATATTGAAAGGAAGTCCAGAGAACAGGGTCTAGATGGGACTAACGGATAGATGATTACAATTGGCGGGATTCGTCGGTTGGTGTTTTTTTTGGAGGGGATGGCTTCTGAACCGGGATTTTGTTCTTACAATCACGAAAGTTGGGCCTCAGTTTTTCAACAGCCGGGATGTGATTACTAGCTCTTCTAGTTCGTGTTAATGGACGTTATTAGAGGCGTTCTTTAAAAAAGAAAATGACTGGCTGAGCTTTAGTTTCGGACAGAATAAAATTGCTGTAATAAAGAAGTGGCCGCAAGGCGGGCTTCCACTTTTCAGTTACGTGACGATCCCGTGACGGTCAAGAGAAACATGTCCGAGACGACCATCACGCGCGGGAGCCTGATAATCACGGGTATTACAGTGATCCGTGACCGGCATGGGTTTTCACCAGTGTACAAAAAATTGATTTTTTTAACAACTCTTTGCCGGGTGACTTGTGGAAAGCGTGAAAATGAAATTTACCTAGAAAATGGCTACTGGTATTCGAATCTCGACATTAGTCCCTGCTTTGGGACTGATGTTCCCGGATGTCATTNAGCTCTCTGTTTAGCTGCTACACTGCAAATCATAAGATTTAGGTTCAAGTGAAGTTAAAGCTGGTTTTCTTTAGCAATGGAGTCGGAGTCGGAGTCGTCATGAGAAGCGCATGCGCAGAGTGTATTTAAGTAGATCCAGTAGAGTATCTTGTTATTTTGGGTATGGATTTCAGATCCAATAAAACTGTTGTTATACGGTTGTAAGTTATGATGTTTAAATATTTGGAATTTGCTTGTCTTCAATCCTCTGTAGGAACAAATGCTACAGAGTGTAGGCACGCTGAGGGCGCGCTAGTGGTCATGGGGAACAAAGGTACACGATCATTGATTTCGGGGAAACAAGAAATTAATAGTTCTCAGATATGTTGAAAGGAAGTCCCGAGGCAGATCCAGGGGAGGGGTTTAGGAGGGTTGCACCCTCCCCCGCCCGCTTTTAGTAACATTTTATTTGTTATTTGTTTGACTCCACATAGAAATAATAAAGTAACACACTTTTCTGTGGTTTGTTTCACTTTCACCAGTTGATTGATTGTCAAGTTAGGAAATGATGATATACATTTAGCAACTACAATAATAGTTTCGACTTTCTGGTCGATAAAAGGGAAACTCCAGACTTTTTATATCGCCTTCATAAATTTTATCAAAGTGTCAGAGATGCTGGAAATATATGGTGTTTTGGAGGGTAAAATCGAATTTTTTTTAACTGGGCGGATAGCCCCAGACCCCCATAGAAGCTCATGCCTGCGGTGCAAGCCAGCCACGCAGTGGGGTCGAAAGAGGTACAACTACCACTTTCAGGAGATCCTGGATCCGTCCCTGGGACCGAGGCATGTTATTAACCGAAACTTCAAAAAAGCAAGTTCGTTACTTGGTCAAGGACGAAGATGCGAAATTTCCAAGGGATCACGTAGAGAAAATGATTCTTTCCTCCCCTGAGAAGGGCCTACCGACTTTGATCCTAAATCATCAAAGCCTTCTCAAAAAAACTCTTTGATAAAACTGATTCGACGCACTGTTTACATGTTATCGGGCCGATATCATTATGTAGCAGTAACTTCTACAGACATTCCTCTAGATCTGGTGCCAGTTGTAAAAGGTTGTGAATAAGAATCGCACCAAGCCATTAACACGGCAGACTTAGCTCAATGACAGCCAGAGAAGATCTCAGTATAATTTTACAGAAAAGTTGTTTCTTTCGCTGTGCTTACTTGGGTCGTCACGGAACGCTTTAGCCTGTGAACAGGCTGCGGCTAGAAGGATCTGACCGCAGCTGGAAGGGCCGATAAGAAACTGGCGGAGAGTGAATTGGCCGAGGGGAGAATGGTGGCGGGGGTGGGAGCGTCGGAGCTCTCCCCTCTTCCTCTCCTCCTTTCTTCCCTTCTTTTCTCGCAACTCGACTAGAGAGCCTATTCACAGGCTAGGAACGCTCCTCCTAGTGTGGAGCAGCGTTGCGTTACGTAACGGCCAAGGCTTCAAAGGAGTTGATATCAACATACCGGAAAGTGCCGCTTATAATCGCCTCCGGTTATTAGACCATCTATCTGTAAACTAAATAATACATCCGGCTATAGCACCCCCCCCCCCCCCC